AACGTCCATCCAAATGATGTCTTGACCATTGAATATTGGACACGTAAGACTCGAAAATTCTTGCTAAAGGGTTAGGCTTTCAAGGCATAATGTGAAATTTTCCTATTTAGGAGATCTTTTTCTGCATATAGATTCTTCATGGCGCGCGTATCCTGCATTAATATTTCAGTAAAGTGAAATTGTGAAAATGACTCCTCAAGACCAGGGGCGGACCCAATGAAGGCCCAATGCAGGTAGATGCCTGCACTGGACTTGGGTCACCCTATTTAGTGGTTGGTGTTGCTCGGCTAACTAAAAGTTTTTCAATTCTCTGCTTGAAGATTAGCGTGCAGATCTGCCCAGGACTTGGGTCACCCCATTTAGTGGTTGGTGTTGCTTGGCTAGCTGAAGGTTTTTCAATTCTCTGCTTGAAGATTGGCGTGTAGGTTATATTTGGTTATGCTCTACAGTGTTCATCTTCATCCTTTGAAGGTTGTATGTATTCCGTGTGTATATGTTCCGTCTGTTTTCATTCAAATTTTAAATTTGAATTTCAAAGTGCATGATTGCCATACTGTGAATCACGTCAAGGATAGCTTGCTGTGGTTGTTCATTTTCTGTTAGTCAAACATTCCATTTTTGGTCATAATATATATTTTTAAACACGGTGGATCTTACCTTGCATTGAAAATGTGATATTTAAAAGTAATGCTATGGATAATGGTTTCGCAACTCTACATAGCACTTTGTATTATAGCGTTGTTGTTTTTTTTTTTTACTTTTACTAATATCGCCCGCACTGAAAATATTTCTTGGGTTCGCCCCTTCTCAAGATTCATTTTTCGGCATAGCATCATGATAGATGATATTGTGCAAAACGAAACATTTCACTCTCAATGTGGAGCTATGTCCACTTGACGCTGCAAGTTTTCACTGTGAAGAAAACTCTCATTCCTCTAATCCTCTCAATCTCAGAAAAAATTATCTGTAAAAAAACTTTTATATATGTAGGATATTAGAGTAAGCCTCATATAAATATAGATGCACCAATATGAATTTGAACACAGTACGCATAAAAGAAGTGGATGATTAGACTTCACACGCTCCAATTACAAGCTTCAATCAGAGTAAGTATCATAGAATAAATTCAAACAAAATCGGATCTCTAATTAACATTAAAATAAGTTTGAGTAATTCGAGCATTTCAAGAGTTCTTATAGATCAGTATTCCTCGATGCAAAGAGTGTTAATCATCATTATTTCAAGTTACAAGATACAAAATTAGAGCTCATGATGGATCGTGATTGACTTTTCAGATACACATTTCGTATTTATATCCCTGGTTAAGAGATTTAAAATACTAAATAATACACAGGATAAAGAAACAAAATTTTCCTTGAGGCCAAATCTCTGATGCTTCATATATATGTCGTAATGAAACAGAAGCTATAGTTGTACTTACTGCAGCAATGATCCTACCATCTGCACGAATGCTGGATCTTATGATGAGAGATTTTTTCAACCCTTCTAATTCGCTTTCGCCACTGAAATGCTGGGAAGTGAATTAGTAAAATGATTTGCTGCATCAAAGTTCATCGTGGAGGCCATCGTCTTCAGCACCATATCTTCCTTTATCATACACTATGTTGTAGAACATATGGTATGATTAAGCATCTCATCGAGCGTCAACTTCCCATCATGGTTTTCGTCGGCCTAAATCAAGAAACGAGTTATATAAGCGATAAATAATTTCTTAGAATATACATTTCAGATTCATGATAAAAGAACTTTTAAGCTCTGATAGTACTGATATAAGTGAAAAGCTAAAATCTTGTTCAATGTACTTAGAGGCATAACAACAAATGTGCACTTGAATGGAGTAACTTACCTCGTGCATTAGATAGCTCGAGTAATATTTGGCATAGGTCAGTTCTCCAGGATTCAGGTACTGAATCATAGGATTCAATTCTTCCACTCTCAGAAATCTGTCAAAACATATATTGACACAATCAGAACACGTTTTCGTCTCTAATCTAGAGGGTTAATGCCGAATTCTGGAAAATAAAAACTAGCTTAGAGATTAACTACAGTACTTGTCCTTATTAATGTCGAGTTTGCTGAATAACCCTTCAGGTGAATGATATTCTTCCCATCCCGTTTCAAATTCGACATAAGTCTTGTATGAATCATAAGCCCCTGCCTCGAACTCTTCCAAGCTAAGTTTCTGATCGTTATTGTAATCCATCTGCCTGTAAAAGTCAGATAGAATGAATATAATTAGCAGAAATCACATGTAAATAAAAGTTAAGTAGGCACAAGAAGATTAACCTTGTCTTTTAACAACCATCTTTGTATCTGCTCATTTCGACTGTCCTCTGGATGCAAGAAACTGCAAAAGAACATAGTTTTAATGATTCCAACTACATTGGAAACACAAAATATGTACAAAAAATCAAGTAGAAGTGAATATTACTCTTGAAACTCGTAAATGTTGAGAGTTCCATTCCTATCAGCATCGGTACTTCTGAACTGTTCCATCCACCATCCTGCTTCCCCATGTTTCATGTCGTTCCTCTCTGTTTCACAATTACCGAATTAGAACCCATTGGCTGGGAAGAAATGGGAAAATGAAGATAAACATTTAAAAAAAATGTCAAAAAAATTTGATTGTGACTTGAGAATACAATCTATTTCCCCTTTCCATCAATTGCACACAGCCAAATGATGCAATTATTGATAGTAAGTGAACAAATGGATTCGTCAAGGTGGCATCATAGTAGGTAGAGATCATCAATTCAACTACCACTGTCATCTATTTATAAAAATTGTGCATAATTTTGGTGGTTTTCTTATGAAGCAACATACCTTTTCAACATG